CAAAAAATTACAGTTTTATATCTTTATGTTTGAAGCCTGAAATGTGGCAAAAGGTCGCAAAGTTCCAGGGGGCCGAATACTTTCGCAAGGCACTGTAGCTCTTGCCTCCAGTACTACTGTGAGGAACCTTGGAGTCATCTTTGATCAGAATATGTCCTTTAAATCACACATAAACCAAGTCTCTAGATCTGCCTTCTTTCACCTGCGCAATATTGCAAAAATCAGGAGCATCCTGTCTCAAAGTGATGCTGAAAAACTGGTCCATGCATTTGTTACTTCCAGGCTGGACTACTGTAACTCTTTACTATCAGGATGTCCCAATAATTCCCTAAAAAGTCTCCAGTTAATCCAAAATGCTGCAGCCAGAGTACTGACATGAACTAGCAAGAGAGATCATATCTCGCCCATATTAGCTTATCTCCACTGGCTCCCTGTAAAATCCAGAATAGAATTTAAAATCCTTCTCCTAACATACAAAGCCCTTAATGACAAGGCTCCATCGTATCTTAAAGACTTCGTAGAGCCTTATCATCTTAACAGAGCACTTGGCTCTCAGAGTGCAGGTTTACTTGTGGTTCCTAGAGTCCACAGAAGCAGAATGGAGGTGCCTTTAGCTATCAAGCCTTTAGCTATCAAGCTCCTCTCCTATGGAACCAACTCCCAGTCTCAGTTCGGGAGGCGGACACCCTCTCTACTTTTAAGATTAGGCTTAGGACGTTCCTTTTTGATAAAGCTTATAGTTAGGGTGGAGTTTTTCCTCCCCACTGTCGCCAAGTGCTTGCTCAAGGGGGATTTGTTGGGTTTTCCCTATGTAATAATATTGATAACAGTAAGGTCTAGACCTTACTTTGTAAAGTGTCCTGAGATGACTTTTGTTGTGATTTGGCGCTATACAAATAAAAATCGAATTCAAGGAACGCGCATTGGCATTTCTAGAGGCCACAAGCTTTAACAACACCAGGAATCAGTTGTGCTCGCACTATTTACATCCAGCTCTGATTTCCTCCCACAGTCGAAAGACGTGGCTTAGGTTGATTGCTGACTCTAAATTCCCCATAGGAGTGTGTGTGGTTGTTTATCTGTGTCGTGGCAAGAGTGAGATACCGACTAAATTAATTCAGACAAACCATTACAATTTAAAGGATCATTTAATATTACAATTATTCTGAATAGAGTAGTATTTAAACAGATAATCTTGTAGTTAGGGAACAGAGAACAGAGATCAGAGAACAGAGACTCTCCTCTTGCAATGGAATAGATAAAGCATAAGAAGATTGTTAAAGCATCAGTCAGTCAGGTCATTTGTTGTCAACCCCGAGTCAGTCAGCGTCTTCCCCAGCCGGCTGGGTCCCCAAAAAGTACATCATCTACTGTTCACTGCAGCATGGTCCTTCTCTTCTCTCTCTCCCTCCCCTCAGGCTCACTCCTTTTTATCAGCTACATAGCCAGTTCACAACAGCTGGACTTTGTCAGTCTTGACGTCTATCGGGCCCCCCTTCTCACTCCTCTATTTCGGGAACCCTGTACTTCGAAGACAGGAAACATCCTGACCACTTACATAAGCCCAACTCACACGAACTCACATAAACTTGATGAACCCGTAACCACTCAGCTCAAACAAGTACAAATAATAAAATAAGTACAAACAATGTCTATATGTGAAGTACATACTGTTCTATTACATATTTCTTCTGGAATCTGGTTTATTTTTAACCACTACATCTGCATGTTGGCCCTGTGATAGACTGGCGTCCTGTCCAGGTGGACCCCGCCTCTCGCCCGATGTTGGCTGGGATTGGCTGCTTATTATCTTGGGGGATTTTAAGAGCAAATCTTACTCATGAACTGCACAAATACAGACAACATGTCAGTTGTTCTACCGGGGACAAAAATACACTGGATCACTGCTACATTGATTAAGGATGGTTATCATTCTGTTCCCCGTGCAGCCCTCGGGCGTTCGGACCATTGCAGTTGCAAATACGTCAGTGGATGATGCAGCATGCAGTCAATATAGCACTGCGTTGTATCCTGCAATATCTTGACTCACCAGGGGCCAATGGACAGATCCTATTTGTGTTCAGCATTCAGCACCATCATCGCGGACATCCTCTACACCAACCCAGCTGAGAAAAATCACCTCCAGTACACAGACTATCAGCACAGGCGCCCCCCAGGGATGTGTGCTTATTATCTTGGGGGATTTTAAGAGCAAATCTTACTCATGAACTGCACAAATACAGACAACATGTCAGTTGTCCCCATTGTTGTTCTCCTTCTACACCACTAACTGCACCTCCAGGGGACCCTTCTGTAAAGATCCTGAAGTTTGCAGACAACAGTCATTGGTCTCATCCAAGATGAGGACGCGCCAGCTTACAGACGGGAGGTTAAACAGCTGGCCCTGTGGTGTGGTCGCAACAACCTGGAGCTGAACACGTGGGAAAACCCCCCGCCCCTGACCACATACATACACACAATCTCGACTCCCTATATTCAATAGTACTGTATCATCAGTGGAGACCTACAAGTTCTACAATCTCCCAGGATTTGAAGGGGCCGACCAAAATCAGCTCTATTATCCAAAAGGCACAGCCAAAGACGTACTTCCTGCATCAGGAAGTTCAACCTGCCTCAGGAGCTGCTGATACTGTTCTATAGAAGCATCACTCAGTCTGCACGTCCATCACTGTCTGAAGAGGTCAGATTTATTTCCTGTTCACATTCCAGCAGAAAATTGGCCTTTGCATGTGCCTCGTCATTGTTGTGTATGCAATGCACTGCACAGGTTCTGTGTGGACGTCTGTACCTCGGAGCGGGGTGCGCTGAAAGTAAAAATTTGTTGAACTTTGAACCTGGTTGCGCTGGTCTGTGTGTGCAGCCAATCACTGTTTCGCCCTGGCTTCACCTATACTTGTAGGACCCCAGGTTATTGTATGTAATCAACGTTTCTGAATTTTTCCAAGCTGTACAATAATAGCACACAGGTTTTGGTACTTTTAAAAAAATCCTCTAAAACATAACATTATTGATTTACTGCTATCAACATTAGCGTTGTAGCTGCACCATTTTGTACAGTGCCCTCCGGAATTTCTGTGTGAGTTTTGGCACCAACCAGTGCAGAATATCCAATGTAAGACCCTTGTTTTTCCACTATAATCTGAACATACCTTTTAAAGTGAGTTTTGCTGAGGTAAGTTGGTGCTGAAAATTGGAGATCATGCATGTGCAGTAATCTTACTTCAAAAGATTCTAAAAAAGCCATCAGGAATGCATGCTAAATGGGCAGAAATGAACAAGCGTGACCCTAGACTCCTGGCTAGTCGTAATGGAAACCGCAGGTCCTGACTTTATTATACAGTAAATAACCAACTTTTGCCTTGTTTATGCCTCTGCACTTGTGATAGCTGTGGCCATACCTCAGTCTGTCCCATTCTTGTGAACGTGATAGCTCAGAAATGCCCTGAGGGAATATCTTTAAATTTGGCACAAACATCCAAGGATGATTTTGGTGGACAAGAGTCAGAACCACTGTAACTTCACATTTGTCCCATTCTTGTGAATTTGACTGGTTGGCAGAGGTATACAACCATGATGTGGTAATTATAGTTATTAGACTGTTGTAATCTTAATTGTTACCGGTGATATTTTATAAATGTCCATCAATAACTTTCACGGGCTGGCTGTTTATTTCAATTCCTCTGATGATCTTACTGTGTCTCACAAAGCATTTCTTTCAGTGAAATCTTACCTTTAGTGCAAATCACATACAGTAGTGAATCTATCCATCCATTCACCTTCCTGTAAGATTTTATTTCAACCAACGTTTGTGCTTTTTCCATTTAGAGTTTGTGTTGAACATATTCATAATTAACAGTTTTAAACATTTTTCTTCTGAAGCAGCACCTAGCGGGCTCATCAAAGAGGAATACATTCATGACTGTATACAGATGGACCTCCCACCCGGCATGCCTCTGTTAGATCACCAAGCAGCCCTGAAGCTTCCTCCTCCAGACTGCTATGGCCAACCCCTTCCTCGACCACAGCTGTCCTCGAAGCCGCATGGCCCCCCACCTGTAACCAGATACACTAACTTGCCTGTCTCACCCAAAGGTCAGTATTCTCCTTCAGATGTGTTAGTAGCAGCTCAGTGTTTCCACTGGTGACACTTCTCAGTGGTACCCTACCACAGCAGAACTTTTGCTGCGGCAGCAAAAAATCAATCCGACCAGTGAATCAATTAACCAACTGCTCTGTGACTCACCCAGGAAGCCCAAAAAACAAAGTGGTGAGTCGTAATCATAGGTGCAGTTAAAACCAGTTCACCCAGAGCATGTTTTTAAACTCGTTTGTCACGCAGCAGATAGAACTCATTATATAAAATGTGTCTCAGACATGAGCGTGAGCAACAGCACAATTTATTGACATGTACAATTAAATTCAAGCATCAAACTGTTGATAAAAGGGTATTTTTGAGGTGTCACAGTAGGAAAAGCACAGGTGTAACTAGTGATAATAATAGGCTGCTCCATTCAGCTTTGCCTGTTATGTCAACACTCTTAATTGTGCACATGTGAGAAAACACTCAACACTTTCCAATGGAAAACACGACATATTTTAAAGTCAAAGACACAAGATGGAGCCATTTGTTGCCAAACTAGCTACCTGACATAAGGTTCAGCATGGTTTTCCTCTGACTTATAAAAACACAAGCCTTATTGAATTAAATGCACTTCTTCAGTTTCAAACACAAGCAGATTTCCCTGGTTAAAACCATGGATTTCAATGTCTGCTTAATTCATTTTTAGACAATCAGCCACTCTCAGTGTAAGAAACACTCACATGAAAAACCCCATGAGGCACTTTTTTTTTAATCATCAGCAAAAACACTGATGTAGCACAGGATCCATCTCAGGTCAGACCTTTTGTCATCAACTTTTTTTCCTCAGAAATATTTGATTTAAAGAAAAAAACCTGATGGACTCATTGTGATGCAGCTCTGATGAAGTCATTATACCTTGAAATAACAGGCACAGAGATATATCACTGGGATTATCTTGGTTCATCTGTAGGGAGGAGGTACACTGAATTTGGCCAGGTAGCAGCAGTGATGTTACATTTTCTGGGGCTGATGGAAGGCACACCTGAAGAATGGACATCTTTTCTCAGACTATTTTGTCCCATTTCTCCTTTTGGATTTGAGAAAAATTGAGATCTCCCTCCTGACTTACTTTTAGTCATCTCTGCCCCCACCTTGCTCCTCTCAGAGAGTGTAGGTGGTACCCTGACATTTGCAACACTGTTGGCCATATTACGTCGATGCCTATATCCCTCAGTCCGGCTGAAGTGACTTTGCCGTCCACAGATTCTTCCCATGATGCCCCTCGACACTGCTGGTGACAGCATCAGCATGACTACAGGCTCCAGGAAAACATTACAGATGCTTGTCAGCATAGCATATCTCCTCCACTCAACACTTTGCTCCAGCACAAACCCCACAACATGTGAGGCATTGTAGGGTGCGTAGCACACCACAAACACGGCAAGCGTGGAGAGTGCAACAGTCAGAACTCTTCTCTTCCCCATAGGCTGTAAATGTGAGCGCCATACCAGGGTAACACAGCGAAGCGTGCAAAAGGATGTCACAATCAAAGGCAAGAAAAACAAAACGATGGACTCGTTTGTCACGCAGCAGATAGAACTCATTATATAAAATGTGTCTCAGACATGAGCGTGAGCAACATCAGCCTTAGGTTTCACTTTGCCCTGCCCTTTGTAGTGAGCACGGATAAAATCAGTGAATGAATCCATAAATAAAAAGATAGTGATTTCTTCCAGATAAGCCTACGTGACAACTATTTTTGTCCATTATGTTTCTGCTGTTGGTCTGTCTGGTGAAGACAGTTTGTCTGTCTGTCGTCCTTCATCAGGAGCAGATAACAGACAGACAAATGTTCTGATGCCAAATGCACAGCTCAGCTCTGTGCTGAGCTGTGTTCAGTGGATTGTGAAGGACTTCATTTATAGTATCCACAAAAAAAAAACTGAAAATAGTGATGTGTAAATCATCTGTGTCCAGTATTACTTTGAAGACAATAAAGCAGCACTCATTTCAATTCTATATATAATGTAATTGTAAAAGTAGTTTCCAATATCAGTCACCCCCCACAACTGTCTCTCCCCCGCCTTGTGGGGACAGTGCCCCCATGCCTGACCTCTTGATCCACAGGAAACACTAGTAGATCAATCATGTTGGGACTCAGACTGATGAAACAAACTACAGCTCTGAAAGGTGCTGACAGGACTCTCAAACACAAGTCAGCTAGTGTTCCTCTGTTGTCCTTTCAGTGTCTGGCTCAGGCTCCATCCTGCCACTGCAGGGCAGTCACAGTGATGGCTGTCTCCAAAGTACATCCCCACAGGCTCAAGTCATGCCCCCAGCACAACGGTCTCCGAGCCCAAGCCAACCCCCACCTCAGCAACAGGCTGCCCAACAACTCTCACAGCCCCCCCGCCCACAGCAACCCTCCCTACCTCCTCCTCACTCTCATGGGCAGAATGGATACAGCAACAATAAACACTCCCAGAGCCAGGCAGCCTTCCACAGTGAGTTCACACATATACAGCAGTATGTACTAATATACATGCAGTACATTGGTATTGTTCAGAATCAATAGTTTGTTTCACTATTCAGGCAATGCAAATGCACTATATATACACGAGACACAGATAATATTTTATTTCCTTCAAAAATGTGTTCAAGTCTTACATTATACTAGGTTGCTCTTGTCAATAGCATATTAATTGTTGCTTACTAATGATATTAATGGAAACAACATTTTTCATATAATGCTTTACTTAAAAATGAAGCATTCATGTAAAACACTAAAAAGCAATGAAATCACTTTTTGCTGTTTTTCACTAAAGTTCACTGAGTGTGTCTTTGTGCTGGCGCCTTTGTGGACAGCTGACTACTGAAGTTGTTCATATTCTGTGCAATGTACAACATATTACCCAGTGCAGCAGGTGACATGAATGATGACTAAGGAACTTTGCCAACTGTTGCACTGCACATGGTCATACTGATCATTCTTTACTTTCCTCTAATTGAACAGTTTGGACAGGCAGCAGCACAGCCTCCTACACTCCTGTAGGACTCCAGTCGAACGGGCGTAGTCACCAGCAACCTTCCCTCCATCATCCAAACCACCACTGTAAGATATGCTTTAAAACCTACTGGACATTTCTTCTAAACTAAGGAATTCCATATGATATTCACTTAAATCCTGAAAGACTTCTAGACTTAACAACATTGTTCAGAATATTATCATCAGGAAGTCCATTAATGTTCAACACATACTATAAAAGGGTAAAGTTACTCCTGAAGAGAACAGAGGCATGGTGGCAGTTTTCTTAAACTTTTGGTTTAATTTAAAACCATCATCAGGAGCTAGCAAGAGTGCCAAAGCAGCAGCAACTAATAAATACAAGGTGTGCCAGCTGATTCCTCTGGCACATGAGATATCATAGGTCTACACAGCATGTGACAGTCTAATTTGGCTTAATCTACAGTGGTGTAAAAAAGTGTTTGCCCCCTTACTGATTTCTTATCTTTTTGCATGTTTGTCACACCTTAATGTTTCAGATCATCAAACAAATTTAAATATTAGTCAAAGATAACACATCATGCAGTTTTTAAATGAAGGTTTTTATTATTAAGGGAAAACAAAATCCAAAACTATATAGCCCTGTGTGAACAAGTGTTTGCCCCCTAAACCTAATAACTGGTTGGGCCACCCTTAGCAGCAACAACTGCAATCAAGCGTTTTCGATAACTTGCCATGAGTCTTTTACAGCGCTGTGGAGGAATTTTGGCCCACTCATCTTTGAAAAATTGTTGTAAGTCAGCCACATTGGAGGGTTTTCGGGCATGAACTGCCTTTTTAAGGTCATGCCACACCATCTCAATTGGATTCAGGTCAGGACTTTGACTAGGCCACTCCAAAGTCTTCATGTTGTTTTTCTTCAGCCATTCAGAAGTGGACTTGCTGGTGTGCTTTGGATCATTGTCCTGCTGCAGAACCCAAGTTCGCTTCAGCTTGAGGGCACAAACGGATGGCCGGACATTCTCCTTCAGGATATGTTGGTACACAGCAGAATTCATGGTTCCACTTATCACAGCATGTCTTCCAGGGCCTGAAGCAGCAAAACAGCCCCAGACCATCTTTGCACATTTTTCAGCATAATTATATTAGTGTAAATCACTGCATGTTATGTAGTTGCTGTTGTTTTAGTTCTCATGAGAAAATGGGGATTCACTGAATTCTAAAAACAAGTGTATAAGAGATAACTTATAAGTTATAAGTTATGTTATAAGTGTATAACACAACAGAGAATGACACTAAAATACAGCAAATGAGGGAATCAACATTAACTTGTGTTTCCCTCTTAAAAGCTGATAGTTAATCTGTTCAGTTTACGCCTTTTGATTCTTCTACAGTTAGTGAAGATTTTACCTGGTACAAGAACATAAACAATACAAAGATGGCTCTCCTTCACAGAGATGGACAGGATATAATGCACTTATAGTCACATATAGCTATCATGTATATAATGTGTGCATATTATCTATCATACACTGTATGAAGCTACAATACAGAGAGCTGATGGGAGAGAGCAATGAGAAAGTGAACAGATTTAGACACAAATTAGACCAACTTTACTGTCCAGTCCAGAAAAATTGGTTGGAGGGAGAGATTGAGAACTAGAGATATACTTCAGCTCCTCAGAGAAACAGTAAGGGAAATTAAATGCTAATAATTAAAACAGGAAAAGTGCTCACTCCCACCTGGACCTGGGCTGTAATATGCAGCTGCATAATGTATGTAACCCAGTGAGCACGCAGTGAAGGCCTGGAGTTGTTTTTAAAGAGCCCATGACATGCTCATTTCCAGCCATTTAATGTTTAATCTTGGGTACCTCTAGATTAGCTTTGCACCCATCATGACTCCAAATGGTCTGTAATTGTTTCAGAACAATAAAACAAGAGGATAGTTTGCGGAGTTTCTCAGTTTCTTCCCCCAGGCTGTCACTCTGATGAAAACTTGACCCACGACAGTATGACAGGACCATAACCCTCAGTGTACAGATTATACAGATTCGTGCAGGTCTCTATTTTTAAGCACTCTATTTTTATTCCTATTGATCTCATTTCACATAGAGCATTTCTTGTCTGTCTGCACTGTTTGTTGCTGTTAATACTGCTTATTTTGTTATATTACACAGCCTTATGCTGGTTTACTGTTTGCACATTGAGAGCCGATGTACCAGAGTCAAATTCCTCGTGTGTCCGACACACTTGGCCAATGAAGCCGATTCTGATTCTGATTCTATTCTGTTAATGATTTGCACTAAGGTACTAATGGGAAAAATGTATATATAAATTGTAAATCTTATGATACGCCTCCCACAACTCAGGTTAAGCTTGGAAAATTCAGAGCTTGGTACAGACCTACAAATTCTGCTTCTTTTTTTAATTCTTCAGACTAATCTACTCGTTCTTTTGCTTTTCAGGGTCTCCACATCATTGTCCAACCTCTTTCCCGCCATCGGTGTCCAATCATCCAGGTTAGAGACTATTACAGGTTTACAGTGGTTTTGTGTTCATCAAAACACTCAATGATAATGTTGCTACTGATTTCATGCATTCTTTTTTTTTACTTGCATTAACTGTGACAGTGATCTGAGTTCAGAAATGTGGCGCACAGAGCTTAGTGTGTATGAACTATGAGTCCAGTGTCTTTTTTTAGATAACAATTAACTGTAATGTCTCTGACACAGAAGCTTAGTCTTAAAAACAAGACTTTTGGAGCATGCAGCTCTTAGTCAGGAAGAGTTGGTTGCAGCAGGTATTTAAAGGATGCATAAAATCAGGCAAGGAGCAGGCAGGCAAAAAACAGGTTGGGATCAGATTAGCAAAAGCCTTATGCAGGCTGGAAAGCAGTAACTAATACAAAGTCAAACTGGCAAATGACTAAAAGAATGGGACTAGCAAATACAGTAAGTAATACTGTTGCCTGTTGTGTAGGGGTGGCATCGGCAAGGTTTAACACATAAGAGCTGAAAGTGACTGTGGTACCACCCAGTTTGATGGGCAAAGCCTTTTGCCGTTCAATTTCAGACATTTTCAGAGGCCACGTGACTGAGCACTAAGGCCCATAAACATATGACATGTACACTGCTCAAAAAAATAAAGGGAACACTTAAACAACACAATGTAACTCCAAGTCAATCACACTTCTGTGAAATCAAACTGTCCACTTAGGTAGCAACACTGATTGACAACCAATTCCACATGCTGTTGTGCAAATGGAATAGACAACAAGTGGAAAGCATAGGCAGTTAGCAAGACATCCCCAATAAAGGAGTGGTTCTGCAGGTGGTGACCACAGACCACTTCTCAGTTCCTATGCTTTCTGGCTGATGGTTTGGTCACTTTTGAATGCTGGCGGTGCTTTCACTCTAGTGGTAGCATGAGACGGAGTCTACAACCCACACAAGTGGCTCAGGTAGTGCAGCTCATCCAGGATGGCACATCAATGCGAGCTGTGGCAAGAAGGTTTGCTGTGTCTGTCAGCGTAGTGTCCAGAGCATGGAGGCGCTACCAGGAGACAGGCCAGTACATCAGGAGATGTGGAGGAGGC